AAATTCTCACCCTGAACCCAAGAAATGCCTGATTATTTGCTCATAAGTAACTGGTTAACTGCTATCATGAAAAAGGATAGGGGTAGAGAGCGATAGCATATGGTTTGACTCCCCGTCTTTTTTTTTCTCATAGCAGTTAAACACGAACATGAGGTCGTATATTGGATTAGGGCGGAAGTTCCCCAAAGGACGCGCTCCGATTTGAAGCCCTTAATCTTTCTGTGTTTGGAAAGGGGAGCAAGAATGCAGTAAACGTGGGAAAGGGCAGAAAAGTGGTTGGGGAGGTAACTTACACAAAGAGAAGCACAAGTGGGAGAGGGAATAAAAGGGAAGAAGAGGAAGGGATTAAGTATGATATATTTTTCTTTACTGACGTCTGTTCCTTCTTCTTCCTTTCCTTCCTCCTCCACTTGTGCATCTTTTTGTGTAGGCTACCCCCTCAACCACTTCTCTTCCCTTTCTCACATTACTGCATTTTTGCTCTCCCCTCCAAAAAAAAACAGAAAGGTCCATATACTTCAATCAGTCTACTCAACATTGCGCTGTTTTTATCTCTCAAGTCGGCCAGGAGATAACTGTTTTGTTTTTTCGCCCTATTTCGGATGAATTCCTTTTGTTAGATTGTTTTATTTATTTTTATTTTTTTTTTCCCCCTCTTTTTTATGCTGCACATAGCAGTTGTGAGTGGAGACCCGTCTTGGTACCCCTCTCTTGTGTGTAAAAGGGCGAAGGGAGGGAACACCATGCGACTTCTTTAGCAATCGCTTCGTGTAGCATAGGAAACAGGGGAAAAAAGAAAAAATAAAATAAAAATAAAATAATCTAACAAAAAGAATTAATCAGAAATAGGACTGAAGAGAAAAACCACACGCGGAGAAGAAACGCATAGTGGGAAGTCCAGTACGGTGCCTGTGTGTGTGTATGTGCTGATTCGTGTGAACAGACAACTATGCCACCACCCCTGAACGACTGCTCCCCGTCTATGCTTTGTTCGAAGCAAGAAGGGGAAACCTCCGTCGAATCGAATTCGCACAGTCTCTTCCCCTTAATGATGGCTGGAATCTATCTGCATTCTTGTCCCTCCCCCCAAAGGTGTATGGCCGTTTTTTAAATAGCTCTACCCTTTGGGGGTGGAAAAGAATGTCCCATTTCATGGTGCAGTTAACTCTGCGTGAATACAATGACAGGTTGTTTCATTACAGACATGAATAAGATAGAGAATCACCAAGGATATGATGCAGTTCTACGCGTAGAATTGTAATCAAAATTCGTTTTTCCTTGCAAAAAAAAAGAGTATTCCCAAAATAAGCAAACTTATTATAAATAGCTAGCAAGTTGACGCACATGGGAGGGTCAATCCTACGTGTACATAATATGCACACAGATAGGAAAAGGGGGAAATATCGCTATGCATGACGCGACGATTAATAATTTCCATTCACTCAGCGGAGCAAGTGATTGAAATTTTAATTCGCCTCGCTCTTCATAGTAATATTTCTGCATTCGAGATTTTGTTACAACTGTAGAATGGCCCAAGTAGGCGGGTTCCCCCGCAGGTCTCATTTACAGTACGAAAAAAGAAAAAAAAAAAA